CCCCCCACTAGAAGCAATTGGTTTGTCTGGAAAGCTCCAAGCAAACTGGGGATGCTTTGACAATCTAAAGAAATAAATCATTATAATAACAATTATGTCAAGTCATCCATCCTAATGCATTTGTACTGACTTCACATACACTGGTTATTAAAGTACATTCACCCCTCTGTCCTTTATTTTATCTGTAGGCAATGTTGAGCAATGGTAACATCTTGCAGACTAGATAAAGCCTTTGTATGAGAGTGACTGCAGACGCGTCAGTAAAGGCGCCCAACAAATAACCACATCAGCCCCAATCCCTTCTCTCAGCTGCCTCCTCTGCAGTACCCACTTCCCATTTCTGCTACATTGCAGAAAAAAAAAAAGGACACATTTGAAAGAACAACAAAACCAACAAAACTGATATCCTGGAAGTACAGTCATTCTCTTTGTCTTGAAGAGCTTTCTCTTGCATGTTACTTAACAGTGTGCTGCTGTGTGGAGTTTGATAAACATCCTAGTAGGATCTAAATATCTAAGTTAAATTTAGATGAATTTTAATGAAGTAGCTCTAACTGAAGTAATGTGAGTTAAGTGAGGTTCTGCTTTTTTACTAGCACAAGAAATGTACCTTGACACTGGCTAAGTTTACATATTAAGAACGTGTTAATTAGCAAGTGTTACAGAGCAAGACAAATCTACTGGGGCAGGAATTTTCTTGATATTTGGTTGTGTGCTGAGTAATATAATGGCCTGACTAGAGCCTAGGGTCCTTGGGTGGTATAGTAGTAGGAAAAAGAATCTAAGTTGATTTCTGTACCATATTTTCAATAATAATTGGAATTCTCCATTCTGTTAAAAGGTTCAGGGCAAAGAAGAAGAATTTATTGTAGAAATGGCTTGCAGATGTTCTGCTCAACTAGCTACACAGAAAATTGCAAATTTCCCAGATAAACTAGAGCGCTGCAAGGAACAGTACACTTTCACTCCTCTCCAGTTCTTTTCAGATCAATGAGGTGGAATTACAGTGTCTATGAGTGTCACAGATTCTGCCATTTCTTAATAACTTTACATTCTAAATGTAAATTTAGAATTAATTACAATAAATTAATTTTATATGTAAAATTGTTAGTACTTGGCAGTAGGTTTTTTTCCCACATTTTAATTATGGTGAATACTAAATGGATAGGAAAGTACACATCTAAATACACAGAGCACAGAACATTATGCTTATATACCTAGTTATTATTCCATTCTTTATTGGATGCAGGGGGAAACATAGTGACAAAGGATGAGAAAAAGGCTGAGGCAATTAATGCCTTCTTTGGCTCAGTCTTGAATAACAATTGCTCTGTGGGTACACAGCCCTCTGAGCAGGAAGATAGGGATGGGGAGCAGAATAAAGCCCCCATAATCCATACCCCATAATCCATCTAAGTGGTGCTACACCACTTAAATGCATACAACTTTGTGGGCCCAGATGGGATTCACCCAAGGGTACCAAGGAAGT